TTTTTTTTTTTTTTTTTTTTTTTTTTTTTTTTTTTTTTTTTTTTTTTTTTTTTTTTTTTTCTTTTTTTTTTTTTTTTGTTTTTTTTTTTTTTTTTTTTTTTTTTTTTTTTTTTCGGTGGAGGGATTGAAATGAGTTGTCAATTGATAAAGTGCGTCGCGAAATTGCGGTGTTTTTGACTTCCTCACCCATACTACGTGAACATCAAGACCTTTTGCCGCACGTTGTTTCCAAAAGGGCACCTAAGAATACGGATGGTCAAAAATTGAATTCAGAAAAAGTTGACGGTCGTTATTTCCCTTACACTCCTGTGCTCATTCGATATGAAGCAAGCGAAAGCATCGAATGCTTCGTTAGATTTATTTATAATCGAAGAAAACGATTTACACAAGAAGTAAACATTCTCTTCACAATAACAGGGCGTATATGTCAATAAAGATTTATCGGGTAATTGAGGCAGCATCGAAAGAATGGATACGTGACTGCGCACACACCTACACAAACTTGTACTTACGTAATACGATTGCGAAAAACTCGCAACCCTTAACTCATCTGGTGTAACAAGAAAAGTCACCTGACTATACGTACCGACATACGTTTTGTATGTGCGTACGTGTGTGCATGCACAAGAAAAATGTCTGTCCCTCCTGTTACGAATTCGAATGTGGCACGTATTTCGGTGGGAATTTACCGGTTACAAGAAGATCCCGAGGTTTCTCTCGCCTGCAAAGAGGCGAAAGAGTCTGGTTACGATTTTATTACTCTTCCTATCGCTCGTCCCGGTTATAGGCGTTTCCTGTTTGAACAGCCCAAGGACGCGAGTGGATCAAGGGCCATGGAGGAATGGAGGAAGCGATATGTGTTTTCCGCTCAAGATTTGGTGTTGAAGAATGCCGGTTAGTTAATATTCACGTATCAATAATTGTTGATATCACACTAGTTGCTTAATTTAATTCGCAAAAATTCTGTTGACCCAGATTTTGTCGATTACGCTGTCGGCAAAATTTCAGACTGGCTGGATTTGGACTCTTCGGATCATGATATTCGAACAAACTCAGAAATTGTGAGTTCTTCTCCTCTTCATCTTTTCACGTTCGAAATATCTTTGCTGATCGTGCTCCATTTCATTGGAAAGGCTTTAAAACAACAAATTTCATGGGCTGGGCACTTGGGACTTTCCGCGGTGTTGGCTCCTTTCCCAGCTGATTGTCCGATGAATTACGCGAGAAGCTTGAATTCTATACTCGATGTGCTGACGTATACTCACGTATTTGTGGACACACATTGCTTTCAATGAGATTGTTCAACATCCAGAACCAAAAAATAGTATTAATTCTGTTCTTTAGGTTTGGATGAAAATTCCTTTGACCCTTGAGAATTCCGGGGCGCAAGACACCGTCACCTGGGAAAAATGGAACACATTCAGAACGTTATGTGAACATCCTACAAAATTGGTCATAGGTGGTTAACGATCAACCGTAACCTTACGATCATGATTATTGCAAGGTATTAATTTTTAGTGCATCCTTATGTTGCGTGTAGCTTTGGAAGTTACAGCACAACTTCCCGAGGACAAAATTCTTGATCGATGGTTCGCCGAACCTATCAGAGCCGTGATATTGCCTACGAGCATTTTCTTAACCAATGTTAAAGGGTACCCGGTATTAAGCAGAAGGCATCAGGTCTTTGTTAGAAGGTTCATTAAAGTACGTGACAATGCCTCGAAAACGTTATCATCTCACTAGAACAGTAGGATGGATCAATAATCCATGATCTCACTCCTTATTCAGTATAAGACAAACTTTATGATCTTTGATGATATGAGGTCACAGGATGCGAAGGGTGGTCTCTCGGCGTATCAGGAATATGTCCGTCACCTGAACCGTACGATGCCCGATCCGACCCAAATTGAGAGATTCTCCACTGGTTATCATGACTTTCTGCAGTCGCCTTTGCAGGTACTTTATTTTGAAAATTGATCGCGAGTCTTCTAAAATTAACATTATTGCCGACTCTTGCGCGCAGCCACTAATGGATAATCTAGAGTCATCCACATACGAAGTGTTTGAAAAAGACGCCGTAAAATATGCATTATACGAGAAGGTATGAACGTGGGAATGGATTTAATTGACTTGGCACTCTTTCTGGATGTTCACTAAGCGTTTGATGTTTGATCGAAGTATTCTATTCCGGTTTTGATTCGTATGTGTGTTTACTTTACCTACACTTCGTTACTCTTATACGCCTAACAATTCATGTAAAGGCAATATACCATGCTCTTCTGGACCATGTGCCTCCGGAATCTGACAAAACAACGTAAACAAATTTCTTATTGGTTCATCTCGAAATAACCTTTTTTCTCGACCCAAGAACTAATTTACTATGCGTCCGATTCATGCAAAATTAAGTGTCATAATGGTACTCGGGGCAGGTCGCGGCCCTCTGGTCACGCGTAGTTTAGTGGCCGCAGAAAAAGCTCAAAGAAAAGTTAGTGTATATGCAGTCGAAAAGAATCCCAACGCTTTTGTCACGTACGTAGGTCTTTGTTCACCGTCGTTTTACAGATAGAATGCACCTGACCGTGCTTTATCCATGCTTTAATCTTAGCCTGCAGAACATGAAGGCTAACGTGTGGGGTGATAGGGTGACAATAGCATTTTCGGACATGCGCCGTTGGAAAGCTCCAGAGAAGGTAACTTATAAGAGTTCGTCACGCACTATATTTCCTATCGATGAGTTAGTTACCCAAATAACTTGATTGAAATTACAAATTTAGGCGGATATACTTGTCAGCGAACTTCTTGGTTCATTTGGTGATAACGAATTGTCTCCGGAATGTTTAGATGGCGCGCAAAAATTTCTGAAGCGTAAGTTGTCACTGCGCGCTGAGTGCGATGAGATGATTCTCACATGCATACAACATATCTCAGTGTTATTCATTTCCATCAAGCTGGCGGAATATCCATACCTGCTTCATACACGACTTTTATTTCACCGCTCTCATCGACCAAACTTCACAACGAAGTTGCCGCCTACAAGGACCTCACTCATTTTGAGACCCCGTATGTTGTGATGTTTCAGTCTGTTTCGGAATTGGCCGAACCGCAAGAAGTATGGAAATTTGTGCATCCTAACAAATCGATCGAGGTCGACGACGACGGTACTCGTGAGGTTTTTTTTCACCGATTCTTTTTGTCAAACGTCCTTTGTTCGTTAAATTGCCCTTTAATCCGCAGAAATGCCGATTAATAACTTCCATAATACTCGTTATTCCAAACGAATATTCGAAGTAAAAGAAAGTGGTCTGCTGCACGGCATCGCCGGATACTTCGAGTCGGTATTGTACAAGGACATATTGATGAGCATTCTCCCGGCTACGCATTCGGATGATATGTTCAGTTGGTTTCCGATCTTCTTCCCCTTGAGGGTATCTGTCACATTAATTTTTTCACAAGACTGTCTTGCATAATCGTGTTTACACTAACCCCATCAAATAATTTATCCAGACACCAATCTATCTGCCATCCGGTGCGAAATTGGAAATTCATTTTTGGAGATTGACAAATCACATGAAAGTATGGTATGAATGGTGTGTTTGCACCTCATACTCATCGAACGGCGAAACGCTTTCATTAGGTTCTTCAGTGATACACAACTCTTCAGGCAGATCGAGTTGGATCGGTTTGTGATCGAACGTTATTGGTTGCTTTGGTATCATATACGTTAAAATACTAGGGATATTATGGGAAACTTTTTGTCGTCTTTGACATACAATATTTTTTTTAAAAAAAAAAACCATAAAATAAAATTGGGTCTAACGCGGTCGATCTATTAAAGTAAAGTAACTTACTTTTCTTAAATAAACCTTTCTCAATAGAGTTTGAATGGCTGATTTCAACTTCATAACAAGGATATCAATTGTAACGAGACTTCGCAATCTTCGAATGACTTATCGAATAAATTATTTATTTTATACAGTAACAATCAAAACCTTATTATATATAATTCTTGTCGGTTGTTTTTTTTCATTTTCACCATAAAAAAATTACTGCATATTTTCAGTATACAGTATGCGTCAAGCGCTAGTCAAATTTTAAAAAAAACTTTTTCGTCTAATAGTAAATTCGGCCTAAAGTACAGTACAATGCATTCGGAATGGTAACTTTTAGAATTAAATGCGCACTAATCTATTGTGTATACTGTAATATTGGTTTAAAAAATAAAGGGCTAACGAGTACCTCATCCTGTCTAAATTTTACATCATATTAAAAAGAGAGGGGAATTCATATGCATATTGTATATACGGTCAACTCTCGATAAAAGAAAATGTATGTCGTAAAAGAAACCCTAGGTATGATTCCCATTTGATTTACCTAAATCACGTGATTATTATAGCTCCGACGAAAGTTAATCTCCGCAAATTTTTAAAATTTATTTTTTTTTTTATATTCAATAATTTAATTTAAAAACTTTATATAATTCTAAAGCTTAAAT